GACATGTCCAGAGGAGGGACAGTGGTTTGGACATGTCCAGAGGAGGGACAGTGGTTTGGACATGTCCAGAGGAGGGACAATGGTTTGGACATGTCCAGAGGAGGGACAGTGGGTGTATTTGTAGGAGGATGTTAGAAATGCAGCTGCCAGGAAAAAGATAAAGATGAGACATATGGATGCAGTTAGAGAGGACATGGAGGTAGATGGAGTGAGGACAGAGCGAGGTGGAGGAGGAGGACTCGCTGTGGAGAACCCTTAAGAGGGAACAGCCGAAAGAAGAAGAAATTTCAAAGTGATTTTGTGTTGTCCTGTCACAATAAACAAGAACTCAATTAATCGCATGATAAATGAAAATGATCAACCTCATCAGTTTCATCGTTTCTTCGTGTCTCTCGTTCTACTGAAGACACTGGATGAGAAAAAGCTCAACTCCTGTTCGTCACTGACCCCTCCCTTTCTCTTTTCTCTTTAAAATCTGTTTTAACCAACCAAAATTGTGTACAAAGGTGCAGCAGGTGCTAAATAATTTAAAATAATTTATTTTAAATAAAAATTCCATGCCGACCCTGCAGCTCATCCATCAATCAGCCAGTTGTGTGTCATGTCCACTCTTATTTTGAAAAACCACGATAGAGCGAGTCCACGATAAATGAGCCGCCAAGTAGCGAGGGACTACTGTAATCTTTTTTGTTGTCGTCTACCTGGATGATTGCGCTTACAAGCCTTCATCACTTTGTTGGTTACACATTTATTACACAGTTGAATTTTAGATTCAAAAGTCCCGGGGAGGTTAGGGTCCGGTGCTGGGACAGGGGCTGGAGGTGTGGAGAAGCGATGCCTTTGGCGCCTACCTCAGCCGCAGTGAACTGGTAACATACAAACACGTACAGGTGCTTAATAATTGACATGCCGTGACCTTCATGGTGGGAGGGGTGGTGCTGTTGGGGAGGCAGTTTGAAGGCCAGTGTGAAGAGCTGGGATCAGGATCGGCACCTCCAAATCCTCCACATTCACAGGAGCCAGTTGACGTGGTTTGGACATCTGGCAAGGATGCCCTCTGGTTTCTGGTTATGTTTTTCCAACTGGGAGGAAACCCAGAGAAGATGCTGGAGGGACTGTGTCTCTGCTGGCCTGGGCCTGGAGTCCTCCCAGAAGAGATGTCCGGGCCTCCCTGTTCAAGCTGCTGCCCCAGGGGCCCGACTCCTGGCCGAGCGGCAGACAGTCCGTGCATTGTTAGGAACCTGAGCAACAGTGGTTACATGCACAGTCTTTCCCATCTCACTCACTGAATAAGTCCTTCAGGGACTGGTGGTGTTCCTCACTGTTCCCCTCCTTGCATGGTCACTGTGCTGCGCTCCTGCTCTTCATACACGTGCACGTCTCGTATTCATTCCATTTCTTGATGCATTTATGAACGTCCCTTTTCAGCAGTTTAATATTTATCACTTGTTTTACGTTACATATTTGTTATTTAATTGATTATACTCTGTAGAACCATGATTTGACTTTGTCATTTAGGGAGGATTTTTTAAATGTATATTATTTATAACATAAGTAATGGAATTAAGGAGATGGTTTCTTTGTTCCTCCAGCTGAGGAAGGTGTACGACACTCCTCTGGTGCGTCTGCAGGCAGTTGGTGACTGGTCTGCAGACATTGATGCCGTGGTTCTCTACAGACCTCTGCAGCCGTTTCCCTCCAGTAACTGGGACTGGATCGGACTCTACAAGGTCGGCTGTTCACCATCAGCTATTTATATTTCCTGTCTCAGCTTCTGTCTCACTTTTACTGTGTCTGACATTCAGGTTGGCTTCAGCAGCTTCTCAGACTACGTCACATATACGTGGGTCAAAGATGACGAGGTGGCTGTCAATGAGGAACAGATGCAGGTAGTGGCCCAGTGAGAAATATTCCAGTTTGCACTCATCAAAAGACTCCGCAGAAGAACTGCATTGGTCTGTTTCTGTAGGTGTTTGTCAGTAAAGAGGATATCCCTGTGAGAGGAGGAGCGTGTGTACTGTGCTACTACTGCAGCTCTCTGCACTGCATCATTGGAATTAGTGAAACATTTCAGGTGAGTAATCAGCAGAACGTTTTCAGACGTTTCCAGGAGTCCATCGTTCTTATTCAAACATGAAAAGTCTGAGCAGTCACTGATCTTCCCAGGAGTGGACCTCCCAGCAGCTTTATCCTGAAGTCAGACTGTGCAACGCTCAGTGAAACTACAAACCCCACAAGCTCTGCCTAAGAGTCTGCACAGTGTACCTACACAGT